TCCAAGGAACGGATAGCTGATCAGGAACTTTCCTAGAAGATGGTGGCATCAGTGAGCCATAACTGATGTAACTGAAATAATAAAGAATTCATCCAAGCAGAATTATTTGTGTATCAAATAACCACATATCATCTCACAATGCAGATTTAGCATGGGTTCACATATATGCGGTGTGGTATATTGCATGTGATTCGCACAGGAACCACACCGCATTCCTGTGCAAATCACATGCGATATGTGTGCGGTGCAACTGGAGCTATACATTTTGTATGGCTCTAATCGTACTGCACCTGCACCATAAGGTGCAGGACCCTTTTTTAGTCCGCATTAGAATCAGATTGCATGGGTATTCACATCTATGCGATCCGATTCTGCACATCGCACCGCGTTTTGCAGACCGATTTCGGGGTGTTGTTAACATACACACCTGCAGCGGTTCACATGAACGGGGTGCGATTCTGATGTGATGCAGAATTCGCACAGAAAATGCTGCAAATTCTGCACCGCATCAGCTGAACCCAGGCTTAGCCCTGGTTCACACATATACAGCTTTGGAAACGGTGCAATTCCTGTGTGTTTCCTGCATCGCATTGCAAATGCACTATGTTTTGCGATCTGCTGCGGGTGTCAATTCAAAGTTAACAACAACCCATAAGCAGGTTACAAACTCATTTGCATTTTACTCAGTGCATTTGTCTGAACCAGATTGCATTGTTAACCTCTTCGGTGGTATGATTCTTTCCGATTTTTTGTGCTGAAAGCGGTACCATTTTTTTGCATGGAAATATGTAGTTTTTTATTGTAGGCTGTAATGTTTAGGAATAACTCACTGAAATCAGTATGAACAAGAGTCTAGTAAACATCCCGGGTAGGATAAAACTTGAAACACGAAATCATAAATTATAATTTAATAAATAATCATAAAAAATAAAAATATAATAATAATAAATTTAATTCAATAATATAATCAAACCAAAAACACTGAAATTTGAAATACAGAGGCAAATTCGCACATCGCTGAGCAAAGTCGCAAAATCGTTTTCAGTGTCTGATGACGAATTTCCCCACGAATCATCACTCAATTCTGCAAGTGGTTCTGATTTACTATTGCTGTTCTCTAGCTGGTCAAAAACCGCTTTTGACGTAAAGGGACGCTTTTTGGACGCCATGGACTTTTCTAAGTTTCCAGGCAGAAAGAACAGTCAAAATGCAGGCAGGGCACAGGACAAAGCAGTAGGGACAAAATATATGTGAAATGCATTGAAACAGCAATGACAGCAAAAATGAAATTTTTAAAAAATTTCTAATTTGCTGCCGGTTCCGGCGCCCGTACGTCCTGACGTCACAGGGACCGGAACACGGAAGCCGGATGCCGGCATCGGCCGGAGGAGATGGCCGGGGACGCTGCAGGGGACACATCGCGGGGGGAGCGAAGGACAAGGTAAGTGCTGCAGGGACTCCCTGAGCAACGCCGCATGGTAAGCCCGAGTGTAGCTCGGGGTTACCACTCTTGGTACTCAAATTTTACCCCGAGCTACACTCGGGAAAACCGCTAAGGAGGTTAAAGACAACCACGTGATATGGTTTCAGTGCAGCTCAAAAAATGGCGCCTACACTACTTTGGTGCGATGTGGTGTGATTTGAGCCCATTCAAAATAAATGAGCTCAAATTGCACTGCACAGAATCGCATATGAATTGCACAGGAATACAATGCGGTTCCTGTGCAATTCACGTGCAAACTTTAGTGCGAACCCAGGCTTAGAAAACTTTTTAACTCTTTCTGTGCAAAAAAAAAAAAAACTAAGCATTTAACTGACAGGTACATGTGCACAGAACGCATTTGGTGGTTTAGTTTGGTGTTTGACATCATTGCTTGAGTCTTTTGTGATTTAACATTGTGGTCTATGGCACTCAAATTGCAATAAAGTCGCAGAAAAGTAGTGAAGGAACTTTTTTTTTGTCACTGCGTCTTGACTCGCATTGATTAAGATGGCAGCCATTGTGTTTTGACGTGTCATGCAACTTGATGTGTCGCAAGTCGCATCACAAGTTGCAGCAAAGTGAACTGGGGCTAAACAACAATACACGGATGCAGAGGAATAGGGGAGAGCTAAACTGGCCATACACTAGAAGAATTTATTTAGAATTTTTTTGTTTTAAAAACATTCATTCGATTTTATTTAACCGCTTCCCGACCGTCCTATAGCAGAAATTTTGCTACAGGTCGGCATGGTGCGCAAAATCACGTATATATATGTGATTTTGCATTTCCAGGTAGGGGGTGCGCGCCCTACCCGCACCACCGTTCGCAACCGCGGCTGTCAATCACCGGGTCCCGGCTGGTGATTACTTGCCGGCGCCCGATGATTTCCAAGGATCTCTGACGGGGAGGGAGAACTGTTTTGTTTACTAACAGTTCTCCCTGTCAGCTTGGGCACACTGCTTTGGATGGCTGTGCACAGCACAGCCATCCAAAGCAGTGTGATTACAGTTCAGCACACTGACACCGCCCCCTAGTAAAAACACTCCCAGCATACAGTTAACCCTTTGATTGCCTCTCATGTTAACCCCTTCCTGCCCAGTGACATTAATACAGCGTCAGTGCTTTTTTTTTTAGCACTGATCACTGTATTGGTGTCACTGGGGATATCAGTGACACCAAGTCAGTTCCCCCCAGTGTCAGAATGTCTGCCACAGTCCCACTATAAGTTGCTGATCACCGCCATTGCTAGTAAAACTAAAAATAAAAAATCCCAGTATATATACTGACATTTGTAAACGCTATAACTTTCACATAAACCAATTAATTTACACATATTGGGATTTTTTAAAGCAAAGACATGTAGCAGAATACATTTTGGCCTAAATTTATGACGAAATTTTATTTTTTTATTTTTTTTACTGGACACGTTTAATAGCAAAAAAGTTAAAAATATTGTTTTTTTCTCAAAATTGTCATTTTTTTATAGCACAAAAATAAAAGCCACACAGGCAATCAAATACCGTATTTTTCGCTCCATAAGACGCACTTTTTTCCCCCAAAAAAAGGGGGGAAAATGTCAGTGCGTCTTATGGAGCGAATATAAAGCGGCCGGTCCGGTATTTCTGCCACCACCATGTCAGAATACCAGGCCGGCCGCTCAGCTGTTCTCTCCTGCAGGGCCTTACCTGTTCCTTGCTCCAGCGCTGCACAGTCTTCCCGCGCTGGCTTCTGTGACAGCCGGGTGCCCACTGCGCATGTGCTGTGCTTTGTGAATGATCCGGTGTCTTCTGGGACACATGACAGGTCCCAGAAAGCGCCGGGCCATTCACAAAGCGCAGCGCTTCTCGCACATGCGCAGTGGGCACCCGGCTGTCACAGAAGCCGACCTGGGAAGAAGAGGGAAGGACGTGGGAGTGGGAGCGGAAGTGGGAGCGGGTACCTGTCAAATTCAGGTACCCGCTCCCCCTCCCTCCCCAAAGGTCAGCAGTCTCTGGTCATTCCCTGCACTGTCTGCAGTCTCTGGTCATTCCCTGCACTGTCTGCAGTCTCTGGTCATTCCCTGCACTGTCTGCAGTCTCTGGTCATGCCCTGCACTGTCTGCAGTCTCTGGTCATGCCCTGCACTGTCTACAGTCTCTGGTCATCTCCTGCACTGTGTCCGCAGTCTCTGGTCATCTCCTGTACTGTGTCTGCAGTCTCTGGTCATCTCCTGTATTGTGTACGCAGTCTCTGGTCTTCCCCTGTACTGTGTCTGCAGTCCATTGGTTTAGAATTTTTTTTTTCTTGTTTTTCGCCTCTAAAACCTAGGTGCGTCTTATGGTCAGGTGCGTCTTATGGAGCGAAAAATACGGTACCACGGAAAGAAAGCTCTATTTGTGAGGAAAAAAGGACATAAATTTCATTTGGGTGCAGTGTTGCAGGACCACGCAATTGTCAGTTAAAGTAACGCAGAGCCCTAACGCAAAAAATGGCCTGGCCAGGAAGGGGGGTAAATCCTCAGGAGGGCAAGTGGTTAATTATTATATTAGAAAATTTGAAAGAGTAGGGTAAGTAATCAAATATTAAAAGGAAACAATATATTATCGTACTTTAAAATGTCATTCGTCTAGTCATCAAATGTGCTGAACAAAATTTTATTATGAATTTTTGTACGATGATCATTCTGAAATCTTCTAGTGTATGGTCAGCTTTATACTTCCCTGTTGATGGGCTGAGTTTTTTTATGTCTAATCCTGTACGTATCCTTTAAATAAAAATATACATGTATACTTTCTATATCTTTATAATGGATAATAAATTGGCATCTGATTAGGAAATGACAGTACATAAAAATCCTTAGGAGTATTTATGTTGTTTTGAACAGCTGAACTATTAATAAGCATAACTGATGATTTTTTTGCACTGAATGAGTTAAGATTTCCAGAGACATATAAATAGCTCTGTGTGGGGAAGCTAGTTTATAAAAATGAATCAGAGACAGAGGCAGAAGAAAATAAAATGAAATCTAAACTGGTTTTGGAAGTCACAGCAGACGCCTCCCTCGGTCAGAGAGGAACACGAAACCAGCGATAAAGCAACATTAGAGGCTCACCGCAGGAAGGGGAAAAATGTATCTGAAATGTGCGGAAATGGCACAACACACACACACAAAATAGGGAATGGAAAAAGAGACGGTGATTCTAATCTAACGGGTTCATAGGTAAGAACAGCTGTTGGCTCTGGAGTACACATGCCAAGACAGGTCTGGATGCTACCACTTTTTCAGGAAATATTTTGGAAGAACATTTAAATAACATTTAAATACAAGAGCCACGTGTATTCTTAAATCTTGTTGTCCCTTGCATATTTCTTCCAGATCAGAGCAGTAATCTACCTTAACCTCCCTGGTGTTATTCCCGAGTATAGCTCGGGGTAAACTTTCAGTACCAAAATCGGTAACCCCGAGCTACACTCGGGAATACCCTGCAGTGTTGCTCAGGAATCCCTCTTGCACTTACCTTGTCCTTCGCTCCCACGATGTCCCCCCTGCAGCATCCCCGGCCATCTCCTCCGGCCATTGCTGGCATCCGTCTTCCAGGTTCTGTTCCCTGCGAGCGTCGGGACATACAGAACGTACGGGGATAGAACCGGTGGGAAATTCAAAAATTTTAAAAGTGACATTCACTCAATACACTAAAATCACTCCCTTGGCAATACTCCCTTGGCATCAGAGACTCCGCTCTCTCCTGGCTCTCCTCCTATCTATCCCAGCGCTCCTTCAGTGTTACCTATAACGCTGCCACCTCCACCTCTATCCCCTCTCTGTTGGGGTCCCCCAAGGCTCTGTCCTCGGGCCCCTTCTCTTCTCCATCTACACCTCCTCCCTTGGCCAACTGATACACTCACACGGCTTCAACTACCACCTCTACGCCGATGACATGCAAATCTACCTCTCTACCCTTTGCCTCACCCCTTCAGTCTCCGCCTGAATCACTTGCCTACTGAACGACATATCAGATTGGATGTCACTCCACTTCCTCAAATTAAACCTTTCCAAAACAGAGCTCCTAGTTTTCCTCCCAGCCTGCGCCCCCCATCCTCTCCATCAGGACCAACAACACCACCATCAGTCCCACCCCGCAAGCCAAAGTTCTATGCATCACTCTAGATTCAATCTGTCCTTCCAACCCCATGTCCAATCGCTGGCAAATTCATGCAGGCTCCACCTCCGCAACATCTCCAAAATACGTACGTTCCTAACCCCAGACACTACTAAGCAACTCATTCACTCCCTGATTATTTCACGGCTCGACTACTGCAACTCACTCCTCACCGGCTTACCTCATCACAGACTCTCCCCGCTTCAGTCTATCCTGAACTCAGCGGCCAGACTCATCCACCTTACCAACCGCTCCGTATCTGCCACCCCCCTCTGTCATTCCCTCCACTGGATTCCGATTGCCCAACGCATAGAATCCAAACTACTAACATTGACGTACAAAGCTATTCATAATACTGCCCCAAACTACCTCACCGACCTGATGTCCAAATACCACCCACTCTTCGCTCCTCACAAGACCTCCTACTCTCTAGCTCCCTGGTCTCCTCCTCCCATGCCCGAATCCAGGACTTCTCCAGGTCTTCCCCCATCCTCTGCAACTCACTACCCCAATCCATCAGACTGTCACCTACCCTCCTCACATTTAGGTGCACCCTGAAAACCCATCTCTTCAGGGAAGCCTACCCCGCCCTCACCTAACAGCCGATCTCCTGCACTCCTCCTACCACTCCATCCCCCACAGCTATTTCCTGTACCACTATCCCCTCCCTCCTAGATTGTAAGCTCCAAGGAGCAGGACCCTCGAACCCCTCGTGTTTTGTTTTGTTACTGTATTGTCTCATGTACTGTCTCCCACTATAATGTACAGCGCTGAGCAATCTTTTTGGCGCAATATAAATACTGTATAATAATAATAATAAAATCACATAGTAAAACATTACTGTATCAAACCATTTCACATTTTATCCCTAGTGCTTTGTCTTGTGCCCTGCCTGCATTTTTACTGTTCTTTCTGCCTGGAAACTGAGAAAAGTCCATGGCGTCCAAAAAGCGCCCCTTTAGGTCAAAAGCGGTTTTAGACCAGCTAGAGAACAGCGATAGTAAATCAGAACCACTTGCAGAATTGAGTGATAATGATTCGTGGAGAAATTCGTGGAGAATACGATTTTGTGACTAAGCTCAGTGATGTGCGAACTTGGCGCTCTGTTTCAAATTTCAGTGTTTTTGGTTTGATTATATTATTGAATTAAATTTATTATTTTTTATGATTATTATATTATAATTTATGATTTTGTGTTTCAAATTTTATCATACCCGGGATGTTTACTAGACTCTTGTTCGGACAGATTTAAGTGAGTTATTCCTAGGAATTACGGCCTACAATAAAAAAAAATATTTCCATGCAAAAAAAAGTACCGCTTTGAGCACAGAAATATTGACATAATCATACCGCTAGGGAGGTTAAAAGAATTCCCACCCTTTACCCCTGAGCAAAAAAGACCAATCACTGGTGCTGTCTCTCTTTGTACAGGATGACTGGTCTTGTTCTCCATCCCTGTAGCTTTCTACAGGCAGACTGTAGTTGGAAGAACCTTCTGAACTGTTCCTTCATCTTTGCTATGTGCAAACGCCAATGTACAACAACTTGTACAAGATCAGTGTTTGCAAAATAGTCCAAATGTTCAAATGCTAATTGTCTGACTGCAGCCCCCTCTCAATTTGATCAAATTGTAACAGCTCTGGAGATTACAATGGGCACACTAGATGTTTAAACCATAGTGGTAGAGAGGTTGAAGAAACAAAAAACACCATCAGATTGCCAATAAAAGGAAAGTCCACCATTATTGAGAGCGATGCAAGTCCTATACAGGAACCTCATGTCTGCCACATGTACTGCATGCACAGCTCAATCTATATTGTAAAGGCGATTGCAACCAGGCAGCAAATTTTGTATTATTGCAGAACAGCCATAGCATGTTCAGACTAAACTGATCTCACTCTCTTTGACCCTACAGGTGTCCTCTGGCTCTAGAAAGATTTCAGGAAATAGAGGTGGTGAAAGCATACACCATACTAATGCCCCGTACACACTATAAGAAAATCAATTAGTACACAGCTTTTGAGATCTGATCACGACAATGCATGCAACAATATCCGAAGGGACAAGCGCGAAAATTTTTCTCGTACGATACCAGATTGTACAATTTTTGTTTAATCTGTACAGTAGTTGTCCAAAAATACAATACAAATACATGACATCACTTTCTAAATTCTTTTCTTTCGTATGAGAATTTTCGTATCTTTAGTAACCTTTTCACTTTCGATGTGAGACTAGCAGGCGAAAAAAATGGGCGATCGTTTCATCCGATATTCTCATGGTGTGTACAGGGCTTAAGACCACCATACAACACAATATCTTTGCCCATGGAACTTTATATGAGGCATATCACCGGCAAACAAATGATTAATACGAAAAAATATCCATTTATTAATCAATACATACATATCTCAGTACATACATCAAAAACTAATTAAAAATAATGAAGCTGATTTATTATAATCATCATATACCCTGTTTCCCCGAAAATAAGACCTACCCAGAAAATAAGACCTAGTACTATTTTTGGGAATTGCTAAAGTATAAGACCTAAACTGAAAATAAGACCTAGTTGGGATCAGGGCATTTTTTCAGCTGGAACGTGCGGAACGGCCCTGTGCACACCATTATCTACTGTCTCTTATAAACACAGAAGCGCGACTTTTGTGTTTGCAAGTGACAGTTCCTCTTGTAAGTGACAGCACCATCGCTCCCACAGAACCCCCCTACTTCTGTACTCACTGTGGGACAGGGAAGGAACAGATATCTAGAGGCACAGTGTGCAATGTGTTAGGAGCAGGGCATCTCGTCCTGCAGCCTAATGCATGGAAGCTGATTCCCCAAGGGTGATTGCCGGCCAGTGGGGAAGAGGCAGAGAAGTGAATGAGTGCGTTTGGTGCACTGTGTGGGAAGATAGGACCCGAAACGGGAGTTACTATAGAGAGGGGCCAGCTGCTGATCTCTGTGTTTTACAAAGCTAGCTAACCATATGAGGGCAGTGATGGGGGAGTGGGGGATGTGCAAAGGTGAGCTGCAGTCAGGTGTTGCAGAAGTAAATTGACAGGTGAATTGCAGACAGGATGCATAGGTGAGCTGAGGCTGGGGGGGGGGGGGGTGCAGAGGTTAGCTGAGTTACAATCCATCTTTGCACCCCCTGGCCACAGCTCAGCTCTGCATCCCCTGTCCACAACTCACCCCTGCACCCTGTCTGTGGCTTATCTCTGCACCCTGTCTGTGGCTTATCTCTGCACCCTGTCTGCATCTCTGCACCCTGTCTGTGGCTTATCTCTGCACCCTGTCTGTGGCTTATCTCTGCACCCTGTCTGTGGCTCATCTCTGCACCCTGTCTGTGGCTCATCTCTGCACCCTGTCTGTGGCTCATCTCTGCACCCTGTCTGAAACCCACCTGTCAGTTCACCTCTTCAACACCTGACTGCAGCTTACAACTGTCATCAGCCGGCCCTCTCTATAGTAACCCTCATCCACAACTGCCTGCAGCTCACCTCTACACCCCCTGTCCACACCTGTACATTAAAAGAATAAGACCTACCCCAAAAATAAGACCTAGTGTGTTTTTTGAGCCAAAAAGAATATAAGACAGTGTCTTATTTTCGGGGAAAAAACAGTATCAGTATAAATTAAACATCATATTAGTATTAATGTGCATACTCCACTCTAGATGTTCCCACATGACCAAATAAAACAAATTGTATCCAGTATCTTGATGCGTTTCATGAATGTTTATTCGCTTCCTCCGGAGTAGATGCTATTACGTGTATCTGTAGAGTAAAACATTAAATATAAGATATTTAACAAAGCTGATCATATCACATAACAAATATACTAAATATACTGTGTCTTGCAAAAGGGTATATGAGACTATTTCAACCCCAATGGCCATCATAGAGTCAGATACATACAAATCAGCTTACAAATTATTAAAACATGGTAGCACCTCCAAATGGTGATCACCAGGGATGTGAGAGTATAACACTGAACTGGGCTTTTTTCCTGTGAGGCTGCATATATGCGTAGCTGCCTTTGTGCTGGGAGTGTGCTGCACAGCATTCTTCTAGCACAGGCTCTCACTGGGAACCCCGGGTCCCGTACTAATGATCGGGATCTGGGATTCCTGTCTCCGGGTGATTTGATTGCTGTGATAGGCTCTGATCGGCTCACACAGTGATCAGTCACTGTGCAGCCTGTCCGTATTTACTTTCTCTCTGAAGAGAGAGATACATAGTATCTCAGTATGAGAAGATCTTAGGGCTCACTCTACCAGAGCTATGACAACCTCATGAGGAGCTCCTCAGTACGTACCCTAGGAAATAATTAACAAAGTGGCAACTTGAACTAATACAAATGCTTTCCTTACTCATTATAAAAGTGATCTAGCCTTCCTCAGAGCAGTGGGATTCGACAAACTCCATGTTCTACTTCTTTGTAATCAAAAAATTAACTGCAATAATCTCCCCCTGTGTGAGTTAATTCTCATTGTGTGCTGCTGCCTTGATGTTCCAGGAAAATGGTATACTCACCTTTCTTTAATTTTCCTTTTCTGATGCATCTTCATCAGCAAACACATTTGCACCCATATGGTGATATCTACAAACAATGGATTATTAGAGTGAGCTGGGTAAGTTATGTGAATCTTTTTTAAAAGCTTTTCTAAACAGACCCTTTATTTTTGTTAAGGAAATAATTCACTTTACCTGGAAAATACAAATCATACCTACAGTGCCTTGAAAAAGTATTCATACCCCTTGAAATTTTCCACAATTTATGTGATAGACCAACACAAAGTGGCACATAATTGTGAAGTGGAAGGAAAATGATAAATGGTTTTCAACATTTTTTACAAATAAATATCTGAAAAGTGTGGCACGCATTTGTATTCAGCCCCCGAGTCAATACTTTGTAGAGCCACCTTTCACTGCAATTACAGTTGAAAGTCTTTTTGGGGATGTCTCTATCAGCTTTGCACATCTAGAGAGGGACATTTTTTCTCATTCTTCTCAAAATAGCTCAAGCTCTGTCAGATTGGATGGAGAGTGTCTGTGAACAGCAATTTTCAAGTTTTGCCCCAGATTCTCAGTTGGATTTAGGTCTGGACTTTGACTGGGCCATTCTAACACATGAATATTCTTTGATCTAAACCATTCCATTGTAGCTCTGGCTGTATGTTTAGGGTCATTGTCCTCCTGGAAGGTGAACCTCCGCCCCAGTCTCAAGTCTTTTGCAGACTCTAACAGGTTTTCTTCTATGATTGCCCTGTATTTGGCTCCATCCATCTTCCCTTCAACTCTGACCAGCTTCCCTGTCCCTGCTGAAGAAAAGCATCCCCACAACATGATGCTGCCACCACCATGTTTCACGGTGGGGATTGTGTATTCAGGGAGATGTGCAGTGTTAGTTTTCTGCCACACATAGCATTTTGCTTTAAGGCCAAAATGTTAAATTTTGGTCTCATCTGACCAAAGCACCTTCTTTAACATGTTTGCTGTGTCCCCCACATGGCTTCTCACAAACTGCAAACGGGACTTCTTATGGCTTTCTTTCAATAATGGTTTTCTTCTTCCCATTTTTCCATAAAGGCCAGATTTGTGGAGTGCATAACTAATAGTTCTCCTGTGGACAGATTTTTCAACCTGAGCTGTGGATCTCTGCAGGTCCTCCAGAATTACCATGGGCTTCTTGGCTGCTTCTTTGATTAATGCTGTCCTTGCCCGTCCTGGCAGTTTAGGTGGGCGGCCATGTCTTGGTAGGTTTTCATACTTTCATTGTGCCATACTCTTTCCATTTTTGGATGATTGATCGAAGAGTGTTCTGTGAAATGTTTAAAGCTTGGGATTTTTTTAGTATTTCAAAGGTTTTTATTAAAAGCTTGGGGTATTTTTTTATAATCTAACTCTGCTTTAAACGTCTCCACAACTTTATCCCTGACCTGCCTGGTGTTTTTTCTTGGACTTCATGATGCTATTTGTTCACTAATGTTCTTTAAACCACTTGCCCTCCAGAGGATTTACCCCCCTTCCTGACCAGGCCATTTTGTCCG